AAGATAAAAAAAAGATAAAGAAAATCGCAATTTCAGTTACATACAATACTCTAGTATCCCATGAATCAACATGGGACAGAGTTTAAATGAATTCTTATGAATTCTTTCCATTCAAGTTAAAGCTTGCGAGATATTTGGTCATTTTTACTCAATAAAAATCTTTTGTGACGCGGAGAATAAATATATTTATTTTTTTGCATATTGTTTTAAAGAATCAAAAAGCCTCAGGGTAAATAGCAGGTGATAGTAATATCATCAGTTGGTAGGGCTTCGTGATTGGTGAACTGCGAAACGTAAAAGGAATGGAAAAGGAAAATTTTTCTGCACTTGTAACTATAACATTTGATGATAAAAGCTTGCGACAAAACGTTGCTTGATAACATTGTAAAATTTAAAAACGATAAAAAGCTATAGAAATCTAAAATCGACGACGTTTCGACGTTAACACAACGTCATTATCAAGTCAAGAATGTATAAAAATTAGTTCTATAAATACTAAAAACGAACAATAAGAGAAAATAATTTGCAGGTTAAACAAAAAGTTTAGAACGTATGGAGTCCGTTTGCACGTTCAGATTAGGTTTGAATTTCTTAATATAAAGAATTTCAAACGCTAAGCAAACAAATTTGCTTTGACACTTTCTCAGAATCTTAAAATGACTATCATTCAAACGATCCCTCCTACCATGCGCTTCCTGAAAATACTTGCCAACTGCCGAATTTTTGTGTTCAGCGACACGTTGAAAAAGGTGTCGGGCCGTATAGCCGACATAATCTGCATCGCACAGATCACGTACAAAATGATAAACAACACATCGCTGATTAACAATCGACGGCTTGGGTTCTTTAGGTTTTAGGTCATTTTCTAATTTCTTGCTTACAAAAACTAGCTGCAAAACGAGGCCAATCTTATTACTGGGATCACACAGCTGTCTCCGAACAGAATGAGCTGAAACCTGATCTTTGAATGGTAGATTAATTCTGACTATGTTGCTCTCGTCAGCATTTCTCTCCGCTGTGCCTACAGAGGGTTTACGAGAAACAAAATTGGAAATAACAGAATCTATAAGACTACAAGGGTAATCAAGACGGCTAAAAATGGAGCGCAATTTGGCGCATTCTTCATTAAAAGCCTCTATTGTGGAGGATTGCGCATAAGCGCGATTTAACATTGTCTTTAATAAGAGTATTTAATAACTTGAAACTATGCTAACCGTTTTGGCGACTTCCGTTCTTTGTAAAACGCTCGGTGAACCAGTACTGTGCGCTGGTAAGAATACTAGGGAAAGATTGACGCTCTCACTCAAAACAAAGTCGGTTGTTATTTTAAATTTCCAGATGACTGTGTTCTACGGGATGAGAGGGGACGAGATTATTTGTTTTCATATCAACACAAGAAGCAGCCCCTCTAACATGGTCCGTAGATTAGAAGTCATCGAAAGCGGGATGTTAAATCTGCATGGTCCATACAGTGCGTGTTTATTTGCCACGCCTAGTACAGAGGTAAGTATAAGTGTTGTATTTTGGTCCCTGAAACCTGTTTGGAGCTTGTTAGATGAAAAAATATTCCATTAATCGCAAGTGCATTGCTGAAAAACTTGTTTGCTTTATTACAAGAATCAGAATGCAAGACATAATAAGGAAACAAAGCGTAATGTAGGTAAACATATGACACTATACTACTTGTTGTTTCTATTCTCATGGTTAGAGATGGAAAACATTGCTAAGAGTGAAAACACTGCTTGCACTGAAAAGTAAATTGAAGTATGAAAACTGGACAAACCTTTACGAGCGACTAGAGAAGAGCATTTCTTTGGCCAGCATTAAGATTTCAGTCCTTTCCCTTAGGAAACATAAAAAAAAAAATGGCTCAATATTTTGTAAGTTCCCCTTTACAAACTGTTTTGTCTGATTGCAATATTTATACCTTTATTTGGCTCATAGATCGAGCGAAGAATAACGGTTGTGTGGAACCGTCGTTTCTCTAGTAAGAATAAACAGATAGGGCATTAACACGTCAGTATTTCTCTGGGCAAGCAAAAAACTGCTTTCAATATACCAGTCGTGGCCAGGCAGAATCTGATAATTTTCTGGCGGAGCATTTATTAATCCTTGCAAATGTAGATGGAATGCGAAGGGCCTTTTTGTTTGCTTAATGTGGGCTCCGATTTGAGATCTCTCGTGTGTTTTCAGTTCCACGTGCAGGAACGTCCGCAATGTTCGGCTCTGCAAAACTTTTGGGATTGAATACTGATTGGCTGAGCCAGTTCGTCCTTCAAAATCTTATTCTGATAGCTCTCAGAGCTGAGATGTCTTACAAGTTCGATCGGTCAGCTTTGTCGAAAAGGAGGTAGCTTAATCTCGATTACGTCAGTGTCGTAATTAGCGTCTTGCGAAGGTCAGGAGGTCTGTCAAAAGACCAGAATTAATTAACCATTCCGGATTTCTTTTCCTTCTTTTCTCCTCCCTTCTGTTTCTACGTTATCCGTTTGGGCTGACGGATCGGTCTTGTTAAGATTCAAAACTGTGTTCATACGCAAATGGCTCAATTTGGCAGTTGCCCGCTAGTTTGCTGCACGAAAACGGAAAACATAAGGAACCACGTACCGATGTGCAGGCTGAAAAAGTGTTGAAATGCTCATAAATCAGTAAAAGGTAAAAAAAAGTTATACTTGAGACTTTTCACGAACCAGCAAAGTTTATTCAAACACGGTAACTGTTTATTTTCATTTTCTTTTGGTCTTCACTGAACAAGTGGTACAATTTTAAAAATTCAACATTTTATTAAATGTTTAATAAAATGTTTGTTTGGTTGTTCATCCTGTAAGACCATCGTTCGTCTGCCTCGTTTTAACGTCGGCACATGCGCAGAGGTTTGACCACTCTGTTGTCAGGGTCTATGGGGACTAAAACGAGCATCCCTGGGAACGAACATGGTAATACACGTTGCATGTGTGACGATAAATAGAAATTACGTGGGCTTCAAACCCTTACAACGCGGGAGATAATAGTCTTACTCCCAATATAGGCCCATAAAGAGCGGATGTTTCTAACCGTTGGTTCAAAGTTTTTCATTCGTTTTCTCGACTTGGTGCAATTCGATTACGTTCGTTAAATGTCCGGCTTAACCGGCAGTTCATCTGAGATTTACGTGGTGCGTGGTTATGGTGCTAAATCATTTTTTGTCCTCAGGCCCCGCGATTTTTCCTTAGTAAGAATTCCGTTCGGCATTACAGTCAATCAGGCAATTTCATGAAACACTTTTGCTCAGTTTTATTTACTTAGAGTAACCGATGTCGAGGATCGTTCATTTCCGCGAGATGTCACTCTGAACAAAAAAGTTCATTAGATAAAGAGGAAATTCGCACTTCCTGTAATAGTGGGAATTTTAAATTCTATACTTTTGATTGGTATGAGTCGATCACGACCAACGAATTCATCATAGAGATACTTTTTCAAATGTCAAAAGGTTACTAATCACAATTTTTTTTTGCACCTGTGATGTCTGGATTGACGCTTAATCTTAATTAGATGAATTTTCTAACTTGAATATTATTTTTCCCAGGTCCTAAGATTGATGGTTAGTATTGATGAATTCAAAATTGGGTCTACGAATTTATCATCGGTCAAAAGTGTTTAACTCACTTTTTACTAGAATACAAAGAGAGAAAACATTTTCCGCGGGGTATAATTTGACAAACAGATACTGTTAACGAGTGACTGTTCACATCAGACAGTAGTAAGATGTGATGATTTTTTTTACACTCACTGTGATGATTATTTACACTCACGACGAGGGTATGTTTCTAATTCAGCATTGGCATACTTCTAACATACTTTTTAATTCTAGCCCCTTGCCAGCCTTAAAGCTCCTTTATAATGGTTGATATTTCTTTCCGCAGTTGTGCATCTAACTTGTGAACAAAAAAGCTTTTAGTTTAAGTAAATATTTGTTCTTGAAGAAGCTAGAACTTGAATTGACATATAGTTTCCATAGCAACTCAACGATGGAGAGATTGTGGTTACGTTTTTTCAATTATTGCTTCTTTTTCACTCCAAATGCTGTTGTGTCATGGTTTTCAAGCGGTATATTTAAAAAAAAGTTGTAGTTGAAATGATTTCGATGGTGTCAAAAATATTCTTGACTAAATGCAGACAATCCTGATTGTTTGAGTAGCGTTGGTTTCCGTGGCTCAGCAGATGATATCCAAACTAATGCAGTGTGGGAAGACAAAAGATTCCTAAGATGCAACAAACTTGAAGATTGTAGCCGATTTCAATTGTTCACGAGAAAAAAAAACCGCAATTATTTTGAGTTCTCTTAAATGATAGCGAGGCAAACAAAACTTGTGACATCTTCGATCTGATGATACAATATTCGATAATACTCTCTATAGATAAACCAAAATACCCACATTTATCAGTGTTTTTATGAGTCTTCTACTTGAAACATGGTGGAGAGAAAAGGAGGAAAATATGTTAGGAGTAAAGGATTATTAAAATGATGACTGCTTGTCAAGCTGTCGAATGGCCAGCGAATATGCAAACAACGCGATATTCTTTTTATGTGTTCATTTCCCTTTTAAAATTATTTTAAAGAGAGTTTCAATTATTTACCTCTTTAAAACACGCACATATTTAGGACGATGAAAAATCTAAGGGTTCTATTAATAATTTTTGCGTTCAGAGAGGACTATGTCACCCCTTTCAAGCACTACACGTTTACACCTCTTGAACGCAAGAAATCTTTGATAAAATGGTCACTGAAATGTAAGAAGTTTACGAGAGTCATGGAGGATTTTTTAGCCGACTTCTTATCTTTAATTCAAACAAAATAATTATCGTGATCAGGGAATGGATTAATTTTACGGTTTTATAACAACCTCTATCGTAACCACGACTACCGTCTAAAACTCTTCCCAGAGTTCTTTAGGATCGTGCCAGTATGAGCTCTAAGGTTCCTATCACGTGACATGAATCATTTACCTGAAAAGAAATTATCATGGCGGTTGTGGACTCTCAACACACGCTAGATTTTGCTGAATTCGATGAAGATTGCACGAATCACGAGGTGGAGGTAATTTCTGAACTTTTTCCGATTTTAAAGAGAAGACTGCAAAGCTTTAGCGAGCTTGTCTGCAGCTTTTTCGTGGTCGATTTGGGTTTTCGTGCAGAGCTTGCGAGCAAATGTTGTTTTGTTTTGGTGGTATGGTGCATAAGTGGAAATAGCTAATTGTTAATCGACGAAAGCAATCTAACTAACATTCGATCTTTCCAAATCCTTTGCAGGTTAATAGTTTACAAAAGGTGATCAAGCTTACGAAGGAAAATCTACACAAGATAGAAGGACAAGTAATCAACGTCCAGCACCCTCCCTCGATTTTCTTGGAGGTGGGTGACAATTTTCACTGGGTGACAATTTTCGCTGGGTTGCACGCAGGAAATAAGAAGAAATTTGTCTACAAAGCACAGACAGAAAAACGTCTCCGAAATGGTTTTAGCTGTGGCAACCGTATTCAACATGGAAAATGTTATTCTTTAAGCGTATTTGCATTTTATGTTAAAAATAAAACGTTTTGCAGTATTTTCTTAATTTGTCAGCAAGGATATGAATCGAAATCTCGGCCACGAGAAATTCAAATTGCAAGCGATGAATTAATACACATAATTTAAGTTTTTTTCCCTTCTGCTACCTTACTATTCTACGAAATCATTTAATTTTTATTTACAAGTTATTTCTTTGCTCGATTGATGTTGTTTTGCTTGGTACGTGGGTCACATACAAGACGCAGTAGCCTGCAATCTTATTTGTATTTATTTACGGGAAATGAAATCATTGCTTTTTGACGCATTGTAAACTTGATGGGCGATAAGATTTTGAAATTTCTACCATCCGTTAGGCTGATTGCACATATGTTTAGAAATGCTGATCATAATATTCGGCAAAGTCGAACGAGAAATCAAGTTCACTGCTCGAGCAAGAGATCGTCGATGTGTCGTTGTTTACTAGTTCTGATTGACAAACAGTTCAATTTTGATTTCTTGGTGTGTTACCTCTTTGAAAATTTTACTGGTTGCAGTTACAGTATATCACCTTTTGATGGGAGCTGATGAGAGCTTCTCGAAAAAATTTGTGCATTTCGATTTTGATCATCAACATTGGTATTGTTCGCATTGTTTTCGTGATGTCTTCAACATTGTACGTCTTATAATATTATGCGAAATGCTTTGGTCTCAATTCTTTTAATATACCTTTCATTGTTTCTCTGATGTTTTGGTGCCAAGGAAGTGACAATACGGTAAAATTCCGTTTTCGAAGCGATCATGCGGACGTGAGAAATGGCTGAATCTGTTTATGTCGATTTGAGTTCATAATCAATTCTAGTGATAAAAGGTAATTAGCCGGCCAGTATTCTCTTCTTAGTCGCCAATGGCTTATCTATACGATGATCTTGCGCGAGCGTAAATTTGCGTTCGTAACAGAATGTTTTTGTTAAATGGATTTTCTGCTCCTAAGCGATGAAATTTGTTTCTTTGCTTGTTTTCTGATTTACAAGTACGTACGTAGATTAAAAGCATAAAACCAATTACAACTTGGATCACCATTTTGCTAAGTCTATTACTAGTCTGAGGTTTACCAATGTTAAGATCCTGGTGTGCTGCCAATTAATTTCCTGACTCTCTTAACTTACCAGATTATTTGAAATTGGTGTTTGGTTTATTTACTCAGGAATATGTGGACTTACAGAAAAGACTTACTGAGTTAACAACTAGAGAAAAGGTCCTACTAGAGAGAAGAACAGCAACATGCTCGACCTCATCTGCAGAACCCAGCCCTCACAGTACAACCCCATCTTCATCTGGTGCTACATCTCCGATACCAAGCTCAAGAAGTAGTTTTACTGGAAGCGATCACCCATTTTCACCTCCCCTCCGTGCCCACATAAGAGTACGTCTCCCCAATCATCAATACACTGTGGTAGGTATATTTCTAAAATGTGCACAGTGTTTCTGAACAATTATGGCTGGATATAGCAAACTACCTGTATCTGTTGAGGGTGACAAGGGTTATGAAAGTTTGCCAATCGACAGCATTGTTTAGCAAAATCAGGTGATTCAAATCCAGATCAGAGTTAACATAGACCTTGTCATGGTATAAATTTATGGTGTACGAGTGTGTATATATTTGTTTTGCCTTTGCTTTTCTCTGACAATGCTTAGATTTTACCATATGTTTTCTGTCTTTGGAGTTTTAACATATTGAGAACTAAATAACTAAAATGTATTATGTGCAACAGAATACAAACTAGATTTCTTCCCCTTGTGAGGTGAAGGGGGGGAAATGCTTATCAAAATACTGGTAAATGCAAATCAAAGTAAGATCCCTTATTTTGCATTGAATATTGGACTCAGTAAAGCCTGAATTTGAAAATTATGCAGAAGGAACCTAGGATTTTGTACAAGGGACTAGAGAAGATTACATGATGGGAGACCTGTTTTAAAGCCTATTTTAAATGGATTAATAGATGGACATACTAGTAATGTTCAACTTGAGAACATACATTACATGTACATCAAGAATTACTTTTAACTCATTCACAACTCAATGTATCAGCATGTTTTGGTAACAGGGGACAGGGAGTTTATTTGGCCTGTAATATTCATAAAATAATCAACTTCCAGGTAGTTGGTGCCCAGACAGTAAGTAATTTATTGGTATGGGGAAGAAAGACTCTAACTCTTGTTGAAAGTGGTCATAGGAAACTTTATTTTGTCTTGGAAGTTTTCTTTTTTGCATCAATATAATGACCTATACCCTTGATTAGTTAGGAGAAGTCAAAGAAAACAAACTGACCCATTGGAAGGGATTTCCCTGCATTGTTAAGGGGAAAACTGCAGTTTTGAACATGATTTTGCAACAGCTGAAGGACAACATGCTGTAACACATGCAGTTTTGTGTAAAAGTATGAACAAAGTATATGTTTTTGTTCATTGCTCTATTATAATTAGATTTAGAGCAAAAGTTTGCTTGAAAATTTTAGCAATTTTTCCTCAGATTTGTTACAAAATGGAATTCTGGGTAAAAGCATATTTTCTTTGGCTGGTGTTCAAAATTTCTCTTTGGAAAGACTATAGAAATCTATGCGCACTCTCTATTTAACATTTTGAGAGCTACAGTATTTCTCACGTGCCTTGTACTTGTAACATTGTGCATACTTGATGCTTGTGCGATTCCCACCCATGCTATGCAAAAACACACCCAGTGCGTGTCATCACACAAAAATGCTTGCCCTCTTGGTTGCCCTTTAATGACAGTATGGTCACAGAAGTGGTTTACCAAATGTTCTTTTTTAATGGACTTGATGCAGATTGAGTTGTTTTTTTGGCCCCCTACTCTGGCCACCAGGTGGCCTTTTAGTCTGGCTCCAAATAACACAGTATAAAGTCAAACAGTGCCTCACGAAACTTGGATTTTTGGTTAGCGATTCTGATTTTCAGATGTTCATTTTATAGCACTATGAAGAAAAAAAAAATTGCCCACCTGTGTTTTGTAGATTTTTCCACATTATTATTATTTTTTTTTCTTTTCTTTTTCTAAGGTTAAGTGTAAACCAGATGTGACGTTGAGAGAAGCATTAGATAAAGGAATGAGAACAAGAGGTCTAGCACCAGAGACTTGTTTAATATGTAATTTTCAAACCAGGTGAGTTGTGATGTTATGCACGTACACCACCAGTGACCTTGTCATTTATCAGCTTGTAAAGCACTGACCCTTACTACAGTACAGCTGAAATGTCAGTTAATAATCTTGACTTGAAACTTATCCTTGTTACCCAAAAGTTTTGAGATTGGAGGCTTGAGTTGTGAATGTTTAGATACAATTTTAGAAAACAAAATGTTTAGAGGATGCTGATGTAAAGGATGCAGCTTAACTCTTGAATGCAAAATATTAATGATAGACAAAGTGCTTGATGTTCTGCCTTCTTATCGTATAACTTGATCATAAAGTATGAAAACAATTTCCATTTTTCCACTAGACTCAAGTGGCTTCCCATGTAGCTAATAACAGACAGAAAATGCTTTCATATCCATTACGCTCAAAGTTAGAATTATTGAACTTACCCAGTAGGACCATAAACATTTTGTCTCCTCTTTGGCATGGAACATAGTCTTTGTCTTACTGTCAAGACTCACTGCCACTTACAACGTAAAGAAAGATAGAGTTGGTGAAAAGTTTATGTGTACAGGTCCTCTGTAAAATGTGCTCCATCTGAAACCAGTGTTTGCTACTCATCAGACGAACCAAAAAATTTTGAACTGTACCTGAATATTTGAATCATGTGATGAAAATTGGGACAAGTAACACAACTCAGTTAAGTCAAACTGGTAGAGAGTAACAACTGCTGAGATCAATTATGCAATGGGTTGTGTTCAGGGGCAAAAGAGCCAGAAATATATTTCCTGCACCTGGTAAGCTCATTTCTCCCATCTTTTAGAAAGGAGACCTTTTTGTTGTAATAATTTCTTACTAATCTTGAAGACAAACATTGATTAGTTGCTAGCTGGCGTAATGCCAGTCTGATGTCTCCAAAACTTTTTTTTTGAAAGACAGAAAGTCTCACAGACCTACATGGGTATTATTCCTCGAGGCTCTCATTCAAACCATGGAAAGACAAGCCAACTCAAGAGATGTTGATTTTTTTTGTAATATACTTAGTGAAGTAATTTAAAACAAGTAGGAGATTTGAAATGAACTCTTTAGTGCAGTAAATTCACATACTAAGCTAGACAACAGACATGTTCATAATTTTGGACAGGATTCATTTTATGAGGAATGTACTAGTCCTGAAATACCTCAGATGTGAAATAAAAACAATTTCTTTTACCAAATGACATTTTAAAAACACAGTTTTAAATAGAAGGATAAGTTTTGGTCTTTGGTCATTTGAATGTAAATATATTACAGTAACTGTACAGTTATATGCCATTTAAAATGTTTGAAAGAAACAATTTTTGTATCAAGTTATGTGTTAAGTCCTTTGGGTTTCTTGTCCTGAAAGTCTCAAGACTCCACTTGATTTTCTTACAAATTCTCAGATGTCCCAAAACTCATCTCTCATCCTTAATCTGTAAGATTTTTGAGAATAAAGAATAAATGTTTGAAATTCAAGGGTAAACTCTTGAGGGAATGTTAACTTTCATTTCAGCAACACTGTATTTTCTACATCAGTTATGGTGTGGTGTACTGTAATTTTAAGTTTGCTTCTGGGACTTTTATTTCCTCTGTTACATCATGTTTTTTTACTCAAAGAAGTTACCAAGTTTTAGAAATCGTAGCACCGTCAGTAAGAGAATCTGGCAACTATTTTGTGGGGGGAAGTACCATTGTGGCTCATTTCTTTGCTGTTGGTGCACAGTGAATGAAAAGGGAATTATGAGACCCAAGTTGTTGGCTGATGAAAAATTCAACTAGTGATGCATTTTTACTTGATGTCAAATTTTGATATGGTCACCATTAATGTTGGTTCCAATTACAGTAAAATGACTTAAACAGGGCCACCTAACAGTTTCCAATGAAAGGGCTGATAAGTTTTTGATTAAGATTAGAACTTGTAAAATGATACTGTGAATATGTTGTGTGTGCAGGGATATAATCAGCTGGGACACTGAACTGTCCAACTTCATTGAAGGAGAGGAGGTAATTCCAAGAGTAAATATTTTCACGAATTTTTCATAAATAATCTCTTAGAAAACTCTAGTTTCCCTTTATATCCACGTGAAGGGGAAGTCTCATGAATTCCACTTAAAAAAAATTAGCAGCTTTAACATCCATCATTTAATTCTACACGATTGTTTGTGGAGAAGTGGCTGTTACAATAACCCAGCTGCTTTGAGTCAAAATGTTAGGATCATTTTCATGGGTGAGCCAGGGCTTTTTTTTTCTAAATGTTTTTTTCTAACTCAGTTATATCTAAAGAAGCTCAAAGATTTTTGAAGATTCCGGAAGGATTTCTTTCTCAGCGTTGTTGCTAGTACTTTTCTTCATAAAATTGGAGGGCTTGGGAAAGTATGATCATTCCTAAAATTTCTAATACATGCCCCTGACAAACTATGTTAATTGTCTTTGCAGCTATCAGTTGAGAGAATTGATGATCTTCCAATTACTGGCCAGTTTAACCACAGTTTTGTAAGTCTTAAAAACTTTGTCCATTAATTTATTTTCTTTTTATTTTAAACATGCAGTAAATGGCTTGAACCCAGGGGTAACATGTGAAGGTGTAGTCTGATCGTCTGGGTGAGTGTAGTCCTGAGAAGGACTTTTGTTGGTGGTAGTGACTGACGTTTCGACAACCTGTGTGGAAGTCATCATCAGAGTCAAGTGAATGATTGTTGTCAGTAGAATGTTCTTATTCCAGTTCGTGTAAAATGATGATCAAGTAAAATGATGATCATGTTAAATGATGATCATGTTAAATGATGATCATGTTCTTATTCCAGTTCGTGTAAAATGATCATTAATTTTTACACAAACTGGAGTAACAACATTCTACTGACAACAATCATTCACTTGACTCTGATCATGACTTCCGCACAGGTTGTCGAAACGTCAGTCACTACCACCGACAACAGTCCTTCTCAGCACAACACTCACTCGGACGATCAGACTACACCTTCACATATTTTAAACATGTAATTTGGTGACACACCTTAAAAATGCATATTTTCCTGCCAATAGTAATTGGTGGTTACTAACTAAATAAGTGTTATGGGAAATTTTAGCTCTGTAATAATTATGTAATGCTTTTTGTAGTATGTGCATGTAGTCAAGATATCTTGGGTTGTGGGGTAATCCATTTACCATAGTTTCTAGTTTGGGCAAAATTAGACGTTTTGCTTATGGATAAGACTAACATGATGCATATTTTTTGCAGGCCAAGAAAACATTTCTATCTTTCCCATTCTGTGACAGTTGTAAACAGCGTCTATTAATTGGATATAGGTAATAATAATAATAATAATTTACATTTCTAAAGCGCTAAAATTATAAAATATTCTAAAGCGCTTTACAACATTATTAACTACAAATATTAAAATGATAAACGACAAAATATCAAAACAAACTGTAAGCCAGCTTGAATAGATGTGTCTTAAGCTTTGACTTAAAAATCGTTACACTTGGACTATTTCGAATTTCAAGCGGCAGTTCGTTCCACAAAAAAGGTCCAGAACGGGCAAAGGCACGATCACCAAAGGTCTTAAAGTTAAACAACCAATTTATGTTGTTCAGCTTAATTCATCAACAGGCTCTTTACTTGAGCACACATTTTGGCATCTTAAGGTTTCCTGGATACCCTTTCTGTAGTTTGGCAGATACAAGTGTACTCCACCATTACAGGTGTACTTGTGTGATAAGAAAACATTTCCTTTCATTTTTGGTCATATTTTTGGCATTTGGTTCTGTTGTTTTTCAATGAAAATTTTGTAAACAAATGTTGGTTCTTTCATGGTAGATGTCAGAACTGTGGTTACAAATTCCACCAAAAGTGTGCAGCAATGGTTCCTCCCTTTTGTGAGCAAGCTGTTGTAGGGTGAGTTCCAATATAACTATTATCAGTTTCTTTCAAGTTGATAGTTTTCTTTAGTACAGTGCATGTACAGCTCATGCATGTATATGATGAGACGGTTCAGTTTGTGATGAAGGATCATTTTGAATTGAAGTCAGTCAAGAGCCTTAGTGACTGGCAGAAATTTGTGCTGGCTGCAACTGCTCATCAACATGGCAGGAAAATCAAAATTCATAAACATACGGATAATATACCTAAATCCACCAGCTCCAAATGTTTTGCATTTGACTAGGACATGCCCATGTCGTTCACTGTGAGTGAGTTTTATCTCCAGAACCAAAAGTAAATATGCAAAAGTGACTTTAAGAGCTTCTCTTACTGCCACAGAAGCAGAAGTCTGGTTGTTTACCAAAAGCAAACTGACGCAAACAGATAATTTGATGGAATGTAAAAATTACTTACCCTGTCAGGCTACCGATCAACCTCATTAAGGTGATTCCTCAGAAAAAAAGTTATTGAACAATTTTTTTGAAACTACCTTTTAAATGTTCCCTAGCTATGCCCATTTCTAAAAATAGAAGAAAAAAGATAGGTCAACATGCTTATGTAGAAGATATGATGGGCCAAACTTACCCCATTTATGCCTGTACTGGCACTAATAATGTGCGTTGTCTCATCGGTTTATGGTGTATTTTGTTGCAGCTGGAAGCAAGTGTTTTTATAGTAACATTTGAAAAAAACTTAATAAGTAGAAAGTCTTGAGTGTGTGGATCAATTTGATATCCTTTTGTGGTAAAACCATGCAATTTCAGACAACATCAACTCAAAATGTTCCTCAAGCTGTTGCTTTTAAGGTCATAATTTGCATCCTTGAGTAACAGGCTTGGTATATGCTTTAAGCAATGTTTTTTTTTTTCATTTGAAGAATTTTTATTTTCTTTTCCCCAATTTAAAGGGAATAAATTGTACACCAAAGTTATTCTTAAAAAAATGCAGGACACTACACTCATGCAAGAGCTAAAGACTATTGTACCTCTTTACCTGGTCCATTGATTGAAAAATAATATTGTGTTTGGAGTGGGTGTGCATTTATTTGCTTGATTATGTGATTTTTATGCACAGTACACCGGGATGCGCAATGCAACACTGAGGAATCACCTTAAGTATACAAGATGTTGCTGCGTTTTGATCAAATTCTAATTCCAGGTTTTCCTGGGTCTGTTTCTTTTTACAAGGAATCTTTAGCATCTGAAACATTTGCAAATTAAATAGCTGGCATTTTCAATTACTATGACAGGGCATCTGACAAATTGCGGTGGTGTGGATCTGCATAATTCGCCTACTTCCGCATCCTCCGCATCCTTGGGGCATTTTTCCGCATAATTTCTACATAAGCGAGAAAGCAACTGCTTACCATCTTCAGAAGCAAAAATAGCAAAAAGATTGATCATTTTGAAGAAGTTATTCACTCAAAACAGCGACAAAAACACGCCTTTCGTTTGAAAACAATTTTAAACTGCTAGGTGTTCCATGCATTTTTTTGGTGAATGGCCTGGGTTCTTGAGACTTCCGGTGTCCAGTTTTCCTCATCTGATTTAATGGCTGGTTATTAAACTTCAGACAAACTCTCTTAAGTGTCCCTCTTTAGTCTCAAATAATTTTCGAAAATTCTGTAGCACTAAAGGATTACAAGCAAAAATGAAGTGATAGTGGGTATTTTTAAGTGATTTTGATGTGTGTGGCTAAAAGTGCTATGTAAAAACCAGTATTATCACTGACTTGTGGTTCAATGGTCTGGAAAAAGTACAGCTACAACAGAAAGAAGATGGGTTACCTTGAAAACCCAAGGGTGACGGACAAATTTTATGACCCTCATGCATTCTAAGTTGTTATAAGTTGTAAATTAGTGAAATCAAATTTGATACAGAAAAAATCATTGCAAAATTGTATTTGAAGATTGTATGTCTACATTTGGCAATCAGTTTTTTTAAGAGAGACTTTGAAGTGCAGTGGCAAATCATCTAATCTGCTCTTCAGGAACAACTATATACATGAGCACTCATTAACTGAAGTCTTATTATTATTATTATTATTATTATTATTATTATTATTATTATTATTTTTGACGGTAAAAGTGAACGGTAAAACACGACGTTTTGACTGTGCTTTGGTCATTGTCAAGTGAATGGAATGAAATACAGTAAATATATGTATTTGTTAAAAATGGGATCATTGGATAATGCAATTCAAGACTTTTTATTGGCTAAGCCATTATGGTATATGAGCCAATATACCATAATCTACAAATATGGTAAGCGTACGTGTCAGCTCAAAATCAAAAGGGAGCTAAAAAATCCAGTTTCTTCTTACAAAATAATAATTTCTTGGGGG